GGCCAATGATTGGTGCCACAGTAACCGTCTCCAACCCAAGTGCATCCTTCTGTTCTCCTTCCTATTAGTAGTACCAAAACCAAAAACCAACCTCACTGCCATCGAGTCTATTCTAACTCATAGCGATCTCTGTTGGGTTTTTGAGGGGCTAAATCTTAACGGAAGTAGATTGCCCAGTCTTTCTTACATGGAGCGGCTGGTGGATTTGAACCGCCAACCTTCTGATTAACAGTCAAATGCCTTAGGCACCTACCTATTAGGAGTATCAGCTTTAAAATTTTATGCTTATTGATACTTTGACTTGACTTCCTATAATACACCACTGCGTAGTATGGTTGTGCTGAATTCTAATGGAAATTTTCTGTAAATGGATGTGATTAATTTCCCATGAGTATCAAATTAGTTATCAAAAGTAATACATAGGACTCAAAATTCTACAAAGTTCTCAAATATTTTCCTGATAGCTATGAATATTCTGAGCACTTTAGTAGTTTTGTGATGGCTCACCATTGAAATACAAACATGTACACATATTTTCAATATTTAAGTACTAATATTTTGATATGTATAAACATTATGAAATTGATGGAGAGGAAAAAGATAAAATAGAAAGTATTGCTTCCATCAGGAAATCAGGAATTTCTTCTGCTTCCTATAAACACAGATTTGGGGGAAAAAAAAAAAAGTCTTTTAATGATTCACAGTTCCAAGGCACACACTGGCATGAATATTTAACAGCAGCAACCCCTGATCATTTTGAACTTAAGTTTCGTCATTTGGGGAAATGAAAGGTTAACTAGTGGGTTAAGCTGTCAAACAGGATGTCTGTGACTGTTTGATGAACCCTAGCTGGATCAAGTGAAGAAGTTCAAGGTTAAAAGTGTTGTATTATGGAAAAAAAACATCACCTCTCTCCAGGAACATTTCAAAATATTGATTTACAAAGTTACCTTGTATTGTGACCTTCCTCCTCCTACAGGGGTCAAAATAAAGTGAAGATGGGGAAGGTACTGTGTTGTTTTAAAATTATCTTGATGGACTACTTTCAGAGAGCCTGGACTTAGAACCAGCCTGAACATTTGCTTTGGAAGTTATGTATGATCAGTTAAGAAAAGATGTCTCTGTTTATCTCTATATATAAGCTTAGAGATATATTAGAGATATCTTAGGAAAATGGCTCACACACTAATAGAAGCTGGCAAGTCCCATGTTCTTGGATCAAACATCAACCTGGAGGCTTTTCCCAACTCACGCAGCTGCAGGGGCTGAGGAGCTCAAGGTTGGCAGGCAGTATACTGGCTGTTGACTCCAACGAATGACGAATCCAAGATCTCCAGGCCAAATGGTGGATTGTTTGCTTCATGGACAGTCGTGGGCAGCACAACAGAATCCCAGTCCACAGAAGAGTGTCTCTTTTCCCAGGATGTCCATAAATACACTGGAAGCAGGCCACACTCCTAGGGAAACTCCCTTTCAACAGATTAGCTGCTCAGAACATATACTTCTGAGGCCATCATGGGAACAACCCACATCTCAATTGCTTAAACAACACAGAATTGTGGTCCAGCCAAGTTGACACACAGCTCTAACTACCACACATGGGTTATGAAATATGTAGTACCAGATATAAGCATAACTTTTTCAACACTTAACCTATGGAGGCTTTTCATTGCTCTTCTCAAATTATGAATGTTAGTATTTCTCAAACTGTGGCATTTCAATGACTTGAAGCAACACTCTTGGTAAATAATAACAATAAAACAATTCTTTTTTACTTACAGTAATATTTATAAATTCATTATATACTTTGATATTTATTATTACCAATATGTTTTAGTGTAAGTAAATTAATCATAATCATATTTATATTGCAAATGCAATAGTTTCTGTTAATATAACAAATGAACTATCTATGATCTTGAAGAGCATATTTTAATTTGCTTTATAGAATAAAATACATTTGTTGAACTTTAATTTTACAGTGTTTGCAAATAGTATTCTTGCTACTGAGTGTGTATACATTGGTACCTATAAAATATTTCAAGTTTTAAAAGCAGGAAAGTTAGTCACAGATAATTTTTAAGAGGTAGCCTTAATTTTGTGAATCACTATGAGGTGCTATAGATTTGGAGGCAAGCATCTATTTTCCAAATAAAGCAATTGAATATTTCACTTATACTCATGAATTCGCCATATAATCATAAGTTATACCCTGATGTCACAAGTCAAGTTCTTATGGAAGTAGACTCTGAGGCTTTATAAGGGAGAGCTCTTGAGGACATCATGTGAAGTGTGAGGGATGCACAATTTGGCAGAAGGAGAAGTTGAAATGGGATTCAGTCACAGCAGAGGCCTTGGCCTATCCTAGAGCCTAAGAGGAGCTTTAGAGCTAAACCAGTATTTCAGTGTTGTCCTACTTTGAGCCATTAAGCCCCTCCGTTAATCAGTCTTTCAATGGAGCCATTAACCTCCCCACTGTAGAGGGACTGTGACCTTGGGTGAAGTAGGTCCCTGTGGACAGGACAATTTGAATAGGTTCTCAGGCAGAACTATCTGCCACGAGCACTCTTAGAATCTGGGGCATGAGTGTCTCAGCCCTGAAGGGGTTTCTGGAAGTATCCTACTGCACCTGTATTTTCTGGGCAAGTGAGCAAAAGATACAGCGTCACATATTCTGATTTTTACCAATACTTCAGGCTCTTTCTCTTTAAGAAAATAGGAAAATATAAGTACAAATATTTCCTAAAGTCTTAAAATTCTCCTGTTTTTTATCCTCTCCAATAGAAAACATGGCTGTATTCTTGAGAGAAGGTTTTGAACTATATGTATAAATGTGAATGAAATACTTACCCTGGAAGAAAAGAGATGGGAAAAATGAGTGCAACTAACTTCACCTAACATGCCAATCAAAGTATTTTAATTTTTTGTGCCTGTCAGAGTGCTGGATAGAAAAATGAGCTTGAGCTTAACCTCTTTGGATCTCTTGAACCAGAAATAATAATGGAAAACATTCTCATAAGTATTGAAGGTATCTGTGGAAGCACCATAAACAGCTAAAGGTTATATCAACTTACTTTTTCTATGAGTTTATTTTAGCCCTTATCCAATTGAAACACAGTGTTAAGATTAAATGATGTAATGGATATATAGGAATGCCTTGGGCAAAGCATGACTTAAGACAGATGAAAATATTTTAAATTATTCGTTGAAGTTTCCTATTATTTGTGGGTATAATGAATTGCATCACTGATGTCAGCCAAAACTTATTTTCCCTCTTATTTTCCAGACAAGACCAACCAAGATTTTGTTTTGGTGCTTTTAACTTTTCATCACAGGAGAATCTTTTAGCAATACTAAACCCCTGACATGTCTATCACTAAAGTCTTATGGATGCCCTCACTCAATCCACTACCAGGTGGAAAATAAATATATTTATTGTGTGCTCTGGTGAATGTAGGCTTGTTATATGTTGTTTTATCTCTCTTTAACATCTGCTTACTCCTTGTACTCTCTATATATACATATACATATTTATTTATTGGTGTCTTAAAGGTCAGTTGTTGGCCTGGCTGTTGTTAAGGAATATTTCTAAACTGAGGTAAAAACAGTGGGAAAAGATACTGATTTTGTTAATTTGGCTCCAGCTGATTTTATACCTGGAAGCAGGAAAGCTGATAGCTCTTGTGTGTGGTTAATTAAATCTGTGCTGATGGCTTCTGTTGTAGGTCTTGAGTCACCCACCTTGTTAATAGATACTCTGGTCCATTGGGATTGGATTTACCCTTGGAAAATCATTTTTAGCATTTTTATCTTATATTTGGGTAACTGTTTGAAGGATGGTGATCTGCTGTTTGCATTTGGCCAGAGAGTTGGTTGTGACATAATGTAAAGGTAATTTGTATGGACCCTGCCTCTACTTTGCTTTAAAAACAAGATGATATCAAGTAAGTGACACATACATTAACCACTCTCCTCCCGTCCATTTAGAATTCTCTTCGATGAGAAAAGAAAAATCTTGCTGTGTTTTGTTTTCCTAATGCCTCTTGGATTCTCACCAGCAGATTTTTACAGTCTGCTGCTTGGCTCTCAGATTAGAAGAATGCTTGCATATTTTAACAGTTCCTAGGATTCAAACAGCCTTTAATGAACAGAAAATTGATGATTTTGAATATTACCAAAGTGAGGAGGACTCTGAACACTGAGATTGGTCTTTTGTCCTTCCAGCTTCTGAGTGCTGTAGTGTCCTATAACCGGGGAAAGGTGTGTGCTCCTTTACAGAGCAGCTGGCTGTATATGTGTGCAAAGGAAATACCTTTGTTGGTGTTACAGCCCTACTGCCTGCTCATTGGTGGCCTGCTAAATTCTGCCTACACATATCTGGCAAAAAGATGGGCAGTTTTTGAGAGCTCATAGCTATAGGAGTGCTGAACAGCTCTGGGATTACTCTGTTTGTTGCACTGCGCTTGCCGGATTTTAATTCTCCAGTTGCCAGGCCAGTAAGGTATGGCTGCCTGTGTTTGAAGTTAAGTTTCTTTTCTGTGCAAAAGTTCATGTCATCTTGCTGCCAGAGTTCTGAATGTGTTGGAAAAGATCAGGTCTGTTAAATAATCACTCAAACCAGGTCCATTTTCTGAGCAGAAGTTTGCTTTCAAAGATGGATAGGGGTGCAGTTGAGGGGTTTTCCTTACACACCTAGGGATCTTGTTTGCAATAGGTATTTTGTTGATCCAATCCAGAGGGAATTGGGAAACAAAGGGATAGGAAGCCAGGTTGGGGACCTGTTTGAAATGTTAACTGTCATTTGTATAACTAGATAGTTAAAATCTGAAGAAGAGAGAATCAGTCAACTCGCTCTCTCTGTCTAATGGCATATCTGCTCATTTGGCCAGTTTCCAGTTGACATCAATAAACTCCACACCTTGTTTTTCCTGTGACCCATAAAGCTTGGTGTTTTTCCTATGCAGGGTGTCCCTAATTGCTCTCTCCTCTCTTCTTTACAGGTGGTACATGCCAGAGCCCTGCTCTCCCAGCCCTGGTCCGTCCACCAGCCCCTCCTTTGCAACCATCGCTGGATATTAAACCGTTTCTTCCTTTTCCTCTTGACACTGCGGCCGCAGTCAACCTCTTTCCTAATTTTAATGCGGTAAGTACCGTGACCAAATTTGCATCTGCCAGAGCAGTGGAAAATGTTGAAAGCCAGAGATGATTTCAGCCGCTGTCCTCCATCTTGCTATATCTTTTATCCCATAGCTTGTCTGAAAGCCATGCTATAGTTAGTTGTCTGCCTGGGTATGTATCAGAGCCAAGCACTTGTTCAAGGGAAAAGGAATAGTAATTTGATCTGATTGGGTTGTTCATGACTTGTTTCCCTTTTAGTGTCTTCTGGGTAACACACGCATTTCTATTATTTTGCTGGAATACATTCAAATTGAAATTTAATGAATTTATTGAAGAGAACATTGGAATTCAAGCAGATACCTAAAAATATAAATGCGTGTTTCTTCTATCTTGGCTATATACTTTAATTTTCAAATCTCTTCTTTCTTAATTTAATAAAGAGGACCCTGATTATCATAATAGTTATCCATTTCATGTATAGAGTACTTTTTTTCTCTTCCCAAGACTAAATACTTCAGGGCTCTGGTAGCTAGAGTTTTAATGTTTTTTTTTTTTTTTTTTTTTGCCCCTAATGAGATGCCATTCCTCTTCAATAGCCTTTCTTAAATGATTTCCCTAGTTTTGAGGGAGCTTTGTCACCAATCTTATCAGCATAAGTTCAGTTACTTCACCAATCTTATCAGCATAAGTTCAGTTACTCGCTATTTTCATTCTTCACATGTTGTAAGTTGGCAGATCGACAATATTCATTGTCTTAGTTAACTAATTCTACTATAATAAAAATTCCACAAATGGGTGACTTTAACAAATTTATTATCTCACAGTTTAGGAGAATAAAAGGCTAAATTCAGGTTGCCGGCTGGCTGTAGGGGAAGGTTTTGTCTCTTTGTCAACTCTGAAGAAAACTTGTCTCTTTTGAGCTTCTTCATGTGGCCTGGCATCTCTCTTCCTCCATCTCTGCTTTTTTAATCTCTCTCATTTTTGAAAAGAGATTAACTCAAGACACACACCCTGTACTAATCCTCCTTCATTCACGTGACAAAAACAATCAATTTCCAAATGGGATTATAACCACGAGCATAGAAGCTAGAATTTACAACACACATTTTTTGGGGCACTGGTGATTCAAACCTACCAGTCCTTGGAAGGAAAGTTGAGCAATCTACTTCCATAGTGATACCACGTTGGAAACCCAAGGAGTGAGTCGGGTCTGACTCAATGGCACGTAACAACAACAATACACTTGGTGAACATTCTAGGACACGTATACTTAGTTTGCACAAAAATTTTTCCAAATCTTTATGCTTTCATTTTGCACAGTTCATTTTTAAGCCCTTCTCTTTCCTCTTGCATTTTCCTCTAAGTGGTAAGTAGAAACTAAATAGTGCTTTTAAGATCTTGCTTAGAAATCTCATCAGCAAGATGTCCAAGTTCATCATTTACAAGTTCTACTTTCCGCCAAACATTTGAACTCAATTCAGTCATGTTCTTTGCCACTACATAAAAAACCATCACCTTTCTTCCATTGTCCAAACACATGTTCATCATTTTCTTTCAAAGCCTTATGAGAAACACGTTTATCATTCATATTTCTAGGAATATTCTGTTGCTGGCACCATATGTATTCTCTGAAAGAATAGAGACTTCCTCTGTAAATGGTTGAGAATGAAAATTAAACCAAGGATGGAAAGGTTAGAAACAAGTAATTGACATTGTTTTATAATATCATCTATTTCCACACTCAGTAGTTTTTATAAAGCAAGTCTGAGCTTGTCAATGACAGGACCTGTCAACACAGCCAAAGCAAAGTGGATTAAGATGGGAGGTCACTAAACACCCAGTGATCTAAATAATCTGGCTTCCTATTGAAATATCTTACTCGATGATGGATTTTATATTTTAATTGTGCCTGGAATTTAATTAATTTTATTTAAGACATAGATGTAGAATCTTATTTTCTTTAATAGCACTTTGTCACAGGGAGTTTGAGTTGGAATCAACTTGATGGCAACTAATATATATGTATAGGTGCTATTGTTGTTAGCAAGGAGTTCTGGTAGCACAGTGCCTAAGGTATCTGACTGCTAACCAGAAGGTTGGTGGCTCAAACCTACCAGCCACTCCATGGAAGCAAGACTGGGCAATCTACTTCCATAAAGATTTACTGCCTTGGAAACCCAGTGGGGGTTGCTATGAGTTGGAATCAACTCAACAGCAGCTTTTTCTTTTTTTTTTTTTAAATTGCTGTTAGCTGCCATTGAATGAACTCCAACTTATGGTGACTTTATGTAAAGTATTGTTATGTGCTGTCGAGTTGGACCCAACTCATAGCGACCCCTCCTTGGGTTTCCGAGGTGGTATCAATATGGAAACAGATTGCCCAACCTTCCTTCTGAGGAGTGGCTGGTGAGTTTGAACTGCCAGCCTTCTGAATAGCAGTCAAGTGCCTTAGGCACTATAATATCAGAGCTCCTTTATGTACAATAGAAAAAACATTGCTCACTCTTGTATCCTCCTCACAATAAGCAGCACATTCAATTTCATCATTGGAGCTACTATGCTAATCCATCTCACCAAGGGTCTTCTTCACCCTTGATAACTCTTTCCTTCATTGCATATGATATCCTTCTCTAGTGATTTATTCTGCCTTATGAGAAGCTTTGGTAGCATAGTACTAAGGCATTTGACTGCTAACCAGAAGGCTGGTGGTTCAAACTCACCACCCGCTCCTCAGAAGGAAGATTGGGCAACCTACTTCTGTAGTGACATCACCTCGGAAACCCAAGGGTGGGTTGCTATGAGTTGGATCTGATTGGAAGGCAGTGAGTTTAGTTTTTTTGGTTATGAGGTGTCCAAAGCAAGCAAGTCAGACAACGCTCTGCTGTGGCCCATGAATTTTCATGGGCTAAATTTCAGAAAGTAGATCCCCAGGCGTTTTTTCATAGTCAGTGTTAGTGTGGAAGTTGCGCTGAAACGTGCCCACTGTGGTTGACCCTGCTGGTAGGTGAAATACTGGAGACATAGCTTCCAGCATCATAGCAACATGAAAGCCACGGCAATACAAAACTGGCAGACAGGTAATAGAGTTAGAGGCTAGTTCCTCACAAAAAGGCAAGGAAGAATTAAAATGATCTTTCCGTTTTTTGGGGTGAAGAATTTTCCATAGCAACTATATTTTTAAATTGATGAGACAAGTGGAGGTGGAGAAAGATAACATTTCCAAAGTATAAGTTTCTAATTCTGAGTGTTGTAATAAGAGGAAGAAAAAGAATTGCTTAGAATCAAACTCTCTTATTTTTAAATGACCAAACTAAAGTCTCCTGGGCTCCTTTTCTCTGATGTCCTTGACTGTCTTTTTATTCAGTCACTTCGGCGTATAGCCTTCCCAGATACCTGAGAGACGGTCCATCAAGGGGACCTTATCTGGCCTCTGAGACCACTAGGCATCCTGTCACTCAGGTACCCATATGGGCTTTAGAGGAATTGAGGTAAAATTCTTAGAAAATTGAAAAAGGCTGAGTTTAAAACTTTGGATTTGTGCTTTGGTAAACATGAAAATCAAAATGATTAATTTGACTGATTATGAGTATTGTTTGCTTTTAAACAAAAATAGGTGATATGTGGAGTTACATGACCCTGAATGTAACTCCCTAAATGCTCTGCTCCTGTTCTTTTTCTTTAAAATAAGTTAGACTTCATGATCTCTTACTTTGATGGGTTATACAATTAAAATATTTTAGATAATTTTTTTGTGGGCAAAGGTTGCAGTGCATGGTGGTCAAGTGGACTCCATAGCTAGGCTGCCTTAGGTTCAAATTCCAGCAAAGCCACTGATCACTGAGGTGACCTTGTGTAAGTCTCTTAACTCCCATGTACTTCAATATCTACATTTGTACAATGCAGCTAATAATCTAACCCACTTAATAGATGTATGACAATGATTCTATGAGTTAATATATTAAAAATTTAGATTTGGGGTTGGTATATAAGAAGCTCAATTTAAGTGATTAAAAAAAAAAAGCCATCGAGTCAGCTCTGACCCATAGCGACCCCCCTTGGGTTTCCGAGGTGGTATCACTATGGAAGGTTGGGCAATCCTACTTCCGTAGTGATACTGCCTCGGAAACCCAAGG